GTGACTTAAAGTCGATCTAATTAAGTATAAATTTCAAAGCCCACACTCAAGATTAAGCTCGATACCATTGAGCATGCATTAGATCGGCACAAGCTAGATCAATGAATACTACACTAAATAATTTGATACTTAGATTGCTTAGTGGGGAGACAAAATGTTAGGGGCATTTTTAGGTCCAAAAAGCAAAATGATCTTTCTTCCCATTAGAGATTGGTAGCAACAACAAGGGATATTTATGACTTTTGGACCAACTTGACATATACAAGGTCACGGTAGCCTGGCCACTTTATCAACTTACCCTAAGGACCCCCTTTTATGCTTACTTGTCACTCCCTAAGTGGATGATCAATGTCCAAGTTAACTTAACCTATCAAGTCATCTTGATCACAAGACTGATCATAAGCAGCCTAATCTGCCCCAGAACCCCTCACCTTCAACTATAAATAAGGCCATCCATGTATTACCTAGACATCTTATACTCTTATACTTTCGTGCTTTTTCCTTTCTATTCATTTTCGCACCAATCTCAAACTTGAGCGTCAAAATGTAAATGTTGGAAAAACTCTCAACCTTTGCCTTTAACCATTTTTTTTCTTCCTCTTATGATTTTAAAGTGTTATCCCTCAACTCGGAGTTTGACACCAACAAAACCACCAAAATTAAGATCCGAGTTTGTTATTCTATTTTTTGGAATAAGAACCAAGAAATTTCCTTAGTTGGGGAAAATTATTTTTAAAAGTCCTAGTTTGGGAAGATATTGATTTTTATGTGGTTTTTATTGACAAAAAAACACTATGGTTCTAATTAAATTTGTTTACTCAAAACCAACCGCTACTTAACGATGAGTAGACTGAATTTCCATTCAACTATTCTCAATGAGGAGATTTTATTTGCCTTTTGATAGTTATTGAAGACACAGCTTCCTTTTCAAAGAATGTTAAAAAGGTCCTAGTCAAAATTTCTCCGGTCTATCTTATTCTTTGAAAAATCGTCAAGAATATACGTGTTTTTCGTCAACAAAATAGAGGATTGGTTCGTCAAGGGCCACGTTCACTGCTCCCAGCTTGAGGTAGCTATGCCAGAGATTGTGGGTTTGGCCATTTTTAACTTGCCTACTTCTAAAAGACTTGAAAGTTACCAAGTCAACTCCAGATAGTTAGAATCCCATGATACTCTTTTTTAACCTTAATTTCAGAAAAAAAAAAGTGGTTTCCTAGACCTTCCCCGGGTTGAAAGAGCTAAATCCGCAAGGGCAAAGGCAAGATTCATATATATATATATATATATATATATAAATAAAATTATTTATTTATTTATTCACATACACGTAGTGTAGCCACAAACCCAATGGCTCTTTCTTTGTAAAATATACATATTTATAGGCATACTTAAAATAAACAAGGCACGATTGTCATGTCATTTATGAAAAGTTGGCTTCTGATATTCGATTGTGTAGGCGGATCGATCCTTGAGTGGACGATGAGTCGATAATTAGGTGATAGGACCCAATTGATTTTTGATGGATTCAAGTTCAAGAAGAGCAATTAAAATCAACTTTGACTTAATCATCAACTTGGTTAACACATTATACAAAACTAAATTAAATGGAAGGTAACCTACCAATGTAATTATGGTTATAAACTGTAATTTTGTAGGTCGCCAGCCACCAGTTTTCCGGTAGCAGTTAATTATGGCTTTTTTTTTTTTTTCTATTTTTTGGGTGAGAAAGTTGACTCACGGTTGTGTTGACACCAAAGAGGTTATTCACACGTTTGTTTATTATCATTAATTCTTTATTTGGTCTTTAAGGGAGTTTTTTCATTTAAAAAAAAAAAAAAAAAGACAGAGAGAGAGAGAGAGAGAGAAGAAAACTAGTTTCTAAGTTGCTTCCTATTGGAATCGTATGGATGACCGGTGTTTCATGATACATTAACACATTCATGGAAGTTTAGTCTTCTTGGCCCAAAAGGAAGAATATACAGAAAAGAAAAGAGAAAGAACTTTCTCCCTTGCCCCAAATCCACGATAAAGACCAGAAAATTTTTTTTTTTTTGAATTTTTATGCCATAATATTTCAATGTCATTTGAAGAGAAAAAAAGGGAAAAATATGAATGTCGTTTTCTCAAAAAGCAAAAAAAAAAAAAAATGATAGTTACATTAGAAATTACGTGACTAAAAGGTGAAACTTTCTATTATTATTATTATTATGGTATAATTCCATTAACGTTGTGATTATAAACATGAAAAGAGAAGCACATTAAACGATTTTTGGTAAGGATTTTAAGTTATTGAAGGAGAAATAACCATCTTTTTTATTCTTTATTTATCTTTTATTCTGCCAATTGTAGAATCCAAATTCGAAAGTTTGGAAACCCATTTTCTAAAAAGTTTTCACATTAAAAATATCGCTCTTTTGAGAAGAAAATAAAACTAAATGTGAAAACACTAACATGTATTATAAAATGTTTGAAGATAAACGTGTTTGTTCGTGACATTTGTGCCTAGAATTTTGCTTCCTAATTACAAATATGATGATGCTCCCACCACCTAATTAAATAAATAATATATAGTACGAACAATTAACAAAGCCAAATCCATTGCTTATCCACCACACTTTTTTATCAACTTAAAATCAATTAATGCCTTTTAAGCTATTCATTATTCAATAATTTGATTTTTTTAGTATTTAAGATTATTAAAAATTAAATTTTAATCATTAAAATTAAAATTTTAATATTTTATTGATAATATCTTTTTTTTGTAAGAAAAAAATTTAAAATAAATAAATTATTCAATCTTTTAAATTAAAATAAAATATATTATATCTAATAATCTAAAATAAGTGATTATTGATCGTACATTTAAAATGATCTAACAAATAACTATAAATATGATTCGAATTTAAAATCTCTTGATTAAAAAAGATAAACTTTAATCAATTAAATCAACCATCTTTTGATTATTGATAATATCACCAAACCAAGTTCACCACTTTAATGATATAACCAAATTAATTAAAAAGGCAAAGATATCTGTATCAAGGGAATTGATAAATAATCTTAAAATAGGGTGTTTGGAATATCCGAATAAAATATTTTATATTTAAATTTTACATTATTTACACGTTAATTGCGATTATTTTTGTCTACCTTCTTTGAATTTCTGATCATTTAACACAACTTAAAATAATAGACAAGTGTTAAAAACAAAATTATCCCATTAAAATGACATTAACAAAAAAAATTAGAGACCAAGTCCACAAGGGCAAAAGTTTTGGTGGGTCCCAAGCAAGTAAGAAACACATAAATTTGTCAAGTTAGAAGGCTGAGTCTAAGTGGGAACCGTTTCCCACTAGTCCACTTTAATAAAAAATAATAATAAAAAAAAAAGGGTAGAAGAAAAATAAGTTGACCAAACTACTTGCTTTCCTTACCTCAGCTGAGTGCACGACACGTGGAATTCCATGATCTGGTGCTTCATTCCGTACATCCTCAAACTGCACTGACCAATCACATCCTTAGATGTGGATTTAGTGACGCTTTTGCCCTCCCACTTCACATTTTGGTAGGGGGAATTGGATAAGAGAGTTTTATTATTGGGCCTATAAGAAACAGAAGACAATGACATGAATCTCTGTCTCTCTTCTTTTACATATATATTTAATTTTTGTGGTCATTTTGTTCTCAATTTCCAAGTGAGTAATATGCAATATGCAAACACCGAGACAACATCAAACCCTTATGCACTGCCTGAAATTCAACAAAATTATTAGTGCAGAGCCCAACATAACAAAGGAAAGCTGAGATGAAAACACCACCACATCCAGCACATTCAAAGGTAAGCAATAGCACCCAATATAACAAGAGAAAGTTGCGAAGTTACTGTCTTCTTAAAAATAAAAAATAAAAACAAAAGAAAATGAATAATAAGAAGTAAAAAAATTTATACTTGATATATTATTGTTATTATTATTATTGTACAATATCAATGAATTACACAATAGTATCTTGTTAAATATTAATTTTAAATATATTTTAAGATTAAATATATTATTTTTAAAATTTAAAAATTTTAAAATAATTTTTTTATGAGATGTATGATTCATTAATAATAAATAACACTTATATATTAACAATATATCAAATATAAATTCAAAATAAAAATAACACTTATATGTAACCTTAATAAAAATACAATTCCTTTACTCATTTTCGATGTCTACTCCATTTATGATACATCTAAAACCTCGTCAAACATACGTGTGATTTTTTTAATAGAATATTAAATTATTAATTTTAATAAATAAATATCAATATTTGACGAATTCAAATACAAAAAATTTAAATCTCAATAAAAACACGATAATGCAAATAAAGCACTAACTCATTTCCCATCGTGTCCTCTCTTTGGTCTCTAGTAAGAGTGTAGTCGAATTGAATCGAATTGATACAATAAAAAATTTAAATTTAAACTCAATTCTTAACATATAACTTGATATTCGATTCAAACTCAATTTTATTTATGAGCTAAATCGAGCTACTCGAACTCATTTGATTAAGTTCGATTAATATATAAAAATAAATTTGATTCGTATACTCAATTACAGTTCGATTATTTGTGCTCAAATTTAAACTCGAATTCAAATTTAAAATATTTTATTAATTAAAATAATTAAAATATATTTAAATATAAAACTCATTAGACTCGTAAACTATTAGAGTCAGATATAAAAATATTCAAACTCAACTCGATCGATGAAATTAATTACTCGAGTTTAAATTCAACTCGATAATAATAAAATCGAATTCAAATTTTATTTGAATCTAATCCGAATATATTACAAATACTACTATTTCATTTACATCCTCGTTCTCGAAAAAATAAAAATATAAAGTCAATGAAATATTCACCGGCTATAACCGGTCATCCGACCCTCACCCCCTCACCTATATATATATATATATATATATATATATATATATATATATATATATATATTCCCAAACCCGTCTAGGCTCAAGCCTCGCCAAAATTTTCATTCTTAAAAAAAAAAAGAAAAGAGTTCGAGAAATAAAGAAAGAACTGAGCATGGATTCATCGGAACACGGCTCCAGCTCACCAAAGCAGCGGTTAACTCTCGGCTTTCTTATTTCATTCATGGCTCTATGCGCCAAGCAAGCCGGCCGCGTTTCTAAAAAGCTCAAGCCTAAACCTAAAGAAAACGGCTTAGCATCCGACTCTCCGAGATTCTTCGTGCGGAAACCACTTCTAAAATCGCCGAGGCCGAAGCAGCTGCTGGCAACGATTAGCAACAAGGCGATCACGCTGGTACACCGGAAAAAGCCGGGCGAGGAAAACGGGAAAGATGTGGGAGAGGAGTTCGGGGATGGTGGGGTATGGCAAAAGGCGATTCTGATGGGAGATAAATGTCAGCCGTTGGATTTTTCAGGTGTGATTTATTACGATGGCAAAGGAAATCAACTGGACGAGTTGCCTATTCGCTCCCCACGTGCCAGTCCATTGCCTGGTTATCTCGCTCAGAGAAGGCCTTGATAGGTGACTTGTTTTAAAGAAACGTTTTGTTTACAAATCTTTTCTTTCTCTTTTTGGTATGTAAAACTGTGTTATGTGTTGCGTTCCTGTTGGTGGGTTATGGATTGAGGTTGGGGGTTACAGGTGACGTTATCCTTTTTCTAAGGAAATAGCCCGCCCCGGCAACCTTGAATCTGTGGGTTGATTTTACGTGTGGTTTTTTCTCTTTCGTCTTAAAAGTATATGTACAAAGTTTTAGAAAAAAATTGCTTTGTAGAACTTTTAATAAGATTATATTTCCTTGAGTTTAATGGAAATTAAAATTGTCTTCTTCTTGATGAATTAAGTAGGGTGTTTAGTTTTTTCTTTCAATTTTTTTTTTTTTTAGCCTAAGCATTAGTCAAGTTGCATTTTGGGGCTTCATATTCTCAGTTTTCCAATTGACATCAGTATTGATTTTTGTTTTATCAAATTTTCTTATTTATTTAAATAAAATTCAAGTTTGATTCTTCGAATACGGTAGATTGAGAGATATAGGCTTATCACTAAATTAAAAATTAAATTTTTGAACAAAACTTTTGAAAGGGTAAATTTTAATTATTTGTACAAGTTGGGATATAAAATTCCAATTTCAAATTCTGCGACATTATCATCTATTAAATATATAAAAGGGTGAGATGAACCTATAACATTATTGTTCAGCTAGGTTTTTGATATAGTTATTGTTTACTTAGGTGGGAGTTAAGAGAATGAATATTTCGGTGGTTCTTAAATTCAAGGTACTATTAATTTTAGTTCTGATTAGATTTTCAAACTATATATATTTAATTGTTGAAAGTTTCAAACATGAGAAAATCTTCCGACTTTCAAAATCAAGATGATACTCTATTAGAGGTTTCGTAAGGATGACCCTCTAGCACATCATCACCTTACTATACCAAGTTGAAATTTGAAATGGTCTCACAAAAGAAAGTTTCAAATGAATTATTATAAGATGAATCTTCTTCTACATTTTCAGCAAATTCTTACAATAAATTTCCACTGATTTCAGTGCTAAGAAAATAGTCATGAGGAGTACCCTTTGCTCGTTTATGTTGAAAAAAAAAAATAAACATGAGAAATTCATCGACTGCAAATAATAAAAATATGGGGTGATTTTATGTTGCTATATTTTGATTATTCATTGAAAATTTTGGATCTAGTCTAGACTATATATGTTTACCATTTGCAATGAAAATGAGTTCCAAATTTGATCAATTTTGCATAAGTTAATTCAATGCATGCAATTTTATATCAAATTGAGTGGCATGATAATGGCATGGCAAAACAAATTAAACATAATATCACTAATTTGTTGATAACACACTATTTGTCCCAAATCTTTTAAAGTACTTTTGAGTCCCATCATTCATTTTTTATCATCCTTAGAATTCTTGAAATCTTAATCCAGTTTTAGATTAGTTTATTTAAAATTGTATTCGATATTTTGTGCCGAAAATGACTAATTGGCTTTAGGCTTGAAATCGAAATCAAGGGTACAATCCTTTTTTTTTTTTGTTATTATTATTTTATTTTAAGCTATCTTATGTTATTTTATTTATTTATTCTATTATTTATATATTTATCTCTAAAATATTATATTTTTACTCTTTATTTTCAAAATGAAAAATAAAAATGATGAATCGGATATATAGATAGTGATAAACAAAAAAATTTGAAAAACTTCAAATGGATTTCGATTGAGTTATTTTAAAGTAACTGAATCTCATTAAGATAGAAACTTAAAAAAGAAAACATAAAAATTTTACAAACGGAGTACTTTTCAATCTAGGATTCTTTTCAATTGAGCTATATAAACCACAAAATCACAATGAACACACAATTATCAAAAGCAACACACAAGTAATTAAAAAAAAAAAAAAACGAAATAATTATTTTGGCAGTGAATGTTTACCGTTTCCCGGCATAATAAGGAGAAAAGGTAAGTTTTTTAGAGGTTTCATGTTATCCAGACGACGACGATGAATAGGAGTTTTAGATGTTGGTAGGACCTATTTTGAGTTTTAGATCTATGTTTTTTGGGTGAATTTTTTTGGAAATTTAATCTGAAAGGTGGAAGGGTTATCAAGAGCTATCGGAAAACAATCTAGGCTTTTTGGTGAATTTCCTTGGAAATCCAATTTGAAAAGTGGAAGGGGACATCAAGAGCTATCGGAAAAAAAAGTTTTTTTATTTTTTTGAAATTTACAGGATATTTAGTGTTTAGAGTTAAAAAATAATTAAAACTTAATAAAATTATTTTTATATTAAACAATAATTTTTTTAAAATTACTAATAATATATAGGCGTATTAAATTTAACAAGGTAATAATTATTCACTTCATATTTAGATCTCTCCTTTTCGTTTTATATTAAATTAATTACAATTATGTATGTTTTACTTATGTAATTATTTATTTTACAATTAAATTGATTATATATTTTATTATTATTTAATCATTCATTAAAATTTTATATTTATTTATATAATTATCAAAATAATATTTTTTTTGAAAAATAATAATGCAAGTATTCGTTTTAAAATTAAAAAAATAATGTTTATTTAATTTATTATTCATGTAGTTATCTATCTTAGCTAATTAGTTAATTATGTTCGTTTCATTTACTAATAAATTATTTGATAGTAAAATTATTTATTTATTTATTCACTTTTTAGTTTTTTTTCTGAAGACAAAACTCATTATTTGTTAAAACATGACGAATTTTATATTATGTTTATTAATTGATTAATTATATATTAAATTTAATATAATGATTGGAAAATTTTTAAATAAAAACAAAATAAGAAAGATATTTTCATCTTGTACTAGCCCACTAAAAGTTATAAGGAGAAAAAAAAAAAAAAAGACTAAAGCGAGGGTGTAGTAGAAAGAAAAATCTGCGATGGAAATGAGCGTATAATATAAAAAAAGCGAGGGTATACTAGAAAGAAAAATCTGCTATGGAAAGCGTATAATAATAATAAAAAAAAAGTCTGCTACAGAAAGTAGGGTCGCGTCACTATTGGGTAGTGGGTTTGCAGTCGACTGTTGTGACTTCATCGGCGGCTGGTCCAAACGCAAAATCTGATTACGACTATTAAATGGCGTTTGATTTATGAATTTAAAAAAAGTAATATTTAAAAAAATATGATTATTGGATTTTTTATTTTAAAAAATGTAAGACTTTTGTGTAGTTAGAAGAATGTAAGATTAGTTAATAAAATCTTTTAATATATTATTTTTAATGATATATGAATAACACATAATATTAATAATATGTGACACATGATAAACACATGAAGAAATAAGTGATTTATTTAAATTTTTATTTAACATGTAAATTGTTGATTTAATATATTTTAAAATTATTTAAGTAAAAATATTTAGATTTTATTGCACATATAATGTCATAACGTATTAGTCCGAAAATTTGATCGTTAGATGCAATCATTTAAAATCGTGAAAATACGAGATAATCATCATCAATATTTTTTTATAAATGTGATTAATCACCTAAAAAAATTATCTTTTTAAGAAAATAATAAAACGGATTTAAAGTTTACTAAAAAGATAATTTTTTGTCTAAGAAAATAAAATTTGATTTGAGAGTGTAGTTACGTGTAGAAAAGATTAACATCTTATAGCATTCGTTTAAAAACGGTACCAATTAATCATATGTCATTTTTTGTATTGGATAAAAATAATTTTAATTTGAAATTTAACAATAATTCCTTTCACTTTTTTAATATGAAAAAAATAATTAAATATCATTATTTAAAAATATTGTGAAAATCTTTAGATTAAAAAAAACTTATAATTCTCTAATATCGAGCCAAAATCCAAAGATAATCATTTTCATATGAGATTCACTACAAAATTTTTTTAAAAGTAAAAATAACATTCTTTGCAAATGATAACTGTTAGTAACTCTTTAACATTTAAGTAGAGTAACCAAAAATATTTTCTTTGAAATGCCTTTTTAATTTTATTATTTTTTGAAATTAATTTTTCAAAGAACTTTTACGAAGTAAAAATGAAGAATGATATAATTAACATTAAATATCAATTAATTAAAATAAATATATATGTGCATAATAAGTGCAAACATTAATTTACAAATAAGATATATGTAAATAATGATAAGATGCGAATTTAGGAATCAAGTTTTTAAATATAAAGAGACTACTTAGACTTTTTAACTTCTAAGTAAAGTTTAAGTACGACTATTTATATTTAGGATCCTATTTTATTTTCATTCTTTTATTTAATTTTATTGTTATTTTAATGAAAGAATTATATGAAAAATCTTAATGAAATAAAATTTTCTAAATATCTCATCATTTAGATAGCATTTATGAATAGATTACTTCATATGAGATTTTCATAAGAATCCTTAAAATTTTGTGATGGTTTTGGGTAGAGGCATAGGTCATGATTTTTAGAGTTTCAAAGTTTTAAAGTTTTGAGATTTTAGAGTTTTAAGGTTTTAGGGTTTCTAGTTTTTAAGGTTTCGAGGTTTTAAGATTTTGGAATTTTTAGGGTTTTGGGTTTTTTAGGGGTTCAAGTTTTAGAGATTTGGCTTTTAGGATTTTGAGTTTATAGGGTTTCGAGTGTTTTAAGGTTTCGAGTGTTTTAGGTTTCAAAATTTCAGGGTTTCAAAATTTTTAGGGTTTTGAGTTTTTAAGGTTTTAAGATTTTAAGGTTTCCAAATTTTTTCCTATGATAAAAATGAGAATTGTTGATAATCTAAACTTTCTCAATTATCCTATCATCTAGGTAAATTTTTTAAATAAGTTTGATTTTACTAATTTTTCTTTTTTCTTAATAGTTTTATATTGATGCAACATGAATCAAACAAATTATGTAAATGAAAACTAAAAATTAAAACACCAAACTTAATCAATTTTATGCATATTTTATTCTTATTTACTTATTACCATTTTTTTCTAAAAATTAAAAGTGGAATAAATTTTATTTATTATTTAATTTATTTGTCAAAATTTTTACTTTAAATTTTAATTTAATCTAACCTAATTAGTTTTTTATTTTTGATTCTTTAATTTCCCAACATATAAGTGGAATTTGAGAAATTAATATTTTAAAACATGATTTGAATTTCTCCCAACATCTAGGTAAGTTTTTCAAAATCATTTACTGCTTTTAACACTTTTATTTTTATCTTTAAAACTTCCATATTTAAGGTCAATCATTTTTGTCATAAAATTATTATAATTCATTTTTTTATCTAATTTTTATTTTGACAACTTTAATCATCC